AAACTTCATAGTGAGTGATCAACTATAATCATCCTAATTTAAGCATAATTAGTTATTATTTTAGTTACTAATTTGATACGCTTAACTATGAAATAAATCTCCTTTTTATATTGTAGGTAAATAAATAAATATTATTAGAGCTCCTCTTTTTATTAAATTTAAAAGTGATAATTTAAATTATTAAGCATTAAATATTAGCTCATGTGAGAAAGTAAAGTAATCTATGGTCTATATACGTTTATAGTCAATCAATCAAACGTATTAAATTTATGATGACCATAGTCAAAATTATATGGTGGGTTCACATTAAATATAATTTTAAAAAAAATAGTACATTAAATCAAAAACTTTTTAACCACTATATAGATTATCTGAAATTTTTTACATATATAAACTATATTGCCTAGGAATAGTGATGTGCGTACTTAACTATGGTCTAATAATCTTATCGTTATTGTTTCCTTCAATCTAGTCTGGTCTACTATTTATGAGTTATAAACACATTAATCTAGTACAACATCTCTATTTATTAGTATCTTGAAGTCTTCAAAAGATAAGTGACCATTTAATTCGTAAAGGAATTTTTATATGAAAACTTTGCGTATATAAATTACACTGCCTAGGAACAGTGATGTGTTATACACTTAACTATAGCCTAATAATCTTAAGAATGACTTACTCTTCAAAATCACTATTAATTAACGTATTTATGCATTACACTGAAAACACAATAAAAATTTAGAAAACTACAAAATAAACACCCTAAATAATTTAAAAAATTCTAAAAAACACCCTAAAAATTGTAATTTATAAATACAAAAAACTATTAAATATTATATTAAAATTAAGAAATTACAAAAAATCATTGAAAAATTTTAAACTTTGGAGAGGTAATTTGCAATGTGCTAAACTTTAAGGGTGTTTTTTCTATAAATTTAAAATTTAATAGATTTTTAATTATTTATGTTCTTTTCAAAAAAGTTACGGGTAATTTGGACCATGAAAGATTTTACCTAAATCTATACTTTTAAAGTGAGTATGATATTTTTTATAAACTTTTAGTTTTTTAGGGGTTGTTAGTAATTTTGTATATTCATTTTTGTGTCCATAGGTTAGAAATTCTCATGATATTTTTTTATAAATTATGAATTTTAGGGGTTTTTTATAATTTTTTAAACTTATAAGCCTTTTCTACAGATTGTAAATTATTTATAGACTATTTATAATTCCTATGCTTTTAATTTACTAATGAGTTTGAAATTCTCAGGGTGTTATTTATAAATTTTAAATTTTAAGGTTTTATTTGTAATTTTTAAAACTTCAAGGGTGTTTTCTTTAAATTATAAATTATTTAGGGGATATTTATAATTTCTATATTTTTAATGTACTATTAGGTTAGAAATTATTAGAATTTTTACAAATTTACAATTCTGAGGGTTTTATTTTACAATTTGTAAAAAGTTCAGAGTGTTTATTGTAAATTCCATAAATTTTTGGGGGTTGTTTGTGTTATTTGTAGGTTTTTAGTATGTTTATAAGTTTGAAACTTTGAAGGTTTTTTTATAAAATTTGAATTTTTAGGGGTATTTTTGTAATTTTTAAAACTTACAAGATATTTTCTCTAAAGTAAAAAAACTTTTAGTTTCTAGCTAGCATATATTTTTTTAGATTTCTCACTGAATTGAAATAGGTAAAATTTATAATTTTTAAGATGTGGTAAAATTTATAATTTTTAAGATGTTTTAATAAAATTTTAAATTTGTAGGAGTGTTTTTATAATTTAAAAAACTTGAAGGTTTTTTTTACAAAGTCCAAAAAACTTTAGGTGCTGGATATCATATGTTTTTTAAGATTTATCTGTGAACTGAAATAAGTAAAGGATTTGAATTATATCAAACGTATTTTCTTTATCCAATAACATGTTAAGTCTCATTTTAAATGTGATAAATCATTTAGTTACTAATTCAAAGAAGATAAGATAATTAGAATAGATTAGGATAACAATGTAATATTTAAAAAAGTTGAGGGTAATACTGACCATGAAAAGATTTTTCCGAACTCGTACTTTTAAAGGGAGTATGATTTTATGAAATTTGTCATAAAAAACACTTTTTTTATCATTATCTTCTCCCTACTCCTTCTCATTATCTCCTTCATTCTCTTATTCTTTTTATGCCCTAACCTTCCCTCCTCCCTCACTTCCTCTCCCACCTTATTTCATAAATCATCACACTTACTTTCTAATTTCCTTCAATCTCCTCCAATCGACATTCATTTATCACTTTCATTTTGGCCTAAAAAGTAATATTGGTGACAATTTGACATAAAGTGGGTGTTTGGTTGCATGTTTTTTGAGAAATGTTTTCTCAAAAGTACTGACGCATGGCATTTATGTAATTATATATTTTCTATAGATTTCCGTAAACTGTGTTTGGTTCAAAAAAAATTTACAGAAATGTTTTCTATAAAGTACAAAAAAGTACCAAATTTTATAGAAATCGATTTCCTTCTAAAATGGGCGGAAATCTCCTGGAAATCTGACGCATTCATTATTTAAATAATAAAACTCATTGACACTTTTCTATAAAGTTCTCACTTTTCTATAAAGTTGGGGGTGTTTGGTTATATTTCTATAAATTATAGGAAATGTTGCTATTTTTCCAAAAGTTATGAGTCCTTTTCTTATTTTGAACCAAACAAGCAGAATACAAAAAACAAGAAAATTTGTACTTTTTAACTTCTCAAAACTTTTCCTATAATTTTTTTAAGAAATACAAGGAAATCATATTTTGGGTGGAAAACATTTCCTATAATTTATAGAAATGCAACCAAACACCCCCAAAAAGTGACAAATCGGTGATAAATAAACTTCTCTGATTGGCAGAGTTATTTTTGAGCAAAAAATTAAAAAAAATTACATATGGACCCCTCAATCTCTCATGGTTTTTAAATTAACTCATCTTTTTCCCCTAAATTTATAAAATTTGTCATTAAAAACACCTTATTTTATCATTATCTTCTCCCTACTTCTTCCCATCATCACCTTCATTCCCTTATTCTTCTTATACCCTAACCTTCCCTCCTCCCTCACTTCCTCTCCCGCCTTATTTCATGGATCATCACACTTACTTTCTAATTTCCTTCAATCGCCTCCAATCTCTTTTACTCCAAATCCCCAACATCTCCTTCTTTCTCTCCCATTCCCTCTTCCTTTTTATCATCTTCCTTCCTCTCACTCTCTCTTCCTACTTGCTTCACGCACTCCCAACCCTCAAAATTAAACTTTCCACCACAATCTTAACCTCATTCTTCTCTCTTTTTTTTTGCACTCTCTTCCTCCTTGCTTCCTACTCCTCGTGCATCCTCCGATCATTAAAAAATCAATCTCCTTAAGAGTGAGCATATGTGAAAGAAATGAGAGAGAATGTTCACGATTGGGAAGAGAAAAGATTGAAAGAGATGATAGGAAGAATGAGAGAAAAGATGGTGGGAAGGGAGGGAGAGAGGAGTTTTACTTTTACAAATTTTTAAAACTTGAGAGATTAAATCAGAAAATATGGTATTTTTTTGCGCAAGTTCGCAAGTGGCTGCTAAGACTCCCACAATTTTGACTTCGATTCTTGACGAGATTGTAAAAAAAAGATATGTATATGCAGTAATAACATCATACCTGAACTCGTATCAGCATATTCAGCACATCAGCTCTTCGTCCAAGTTTGCATGTGGCTGCTAAGACTTGTTAAGTAGCAAGAAAAGAAAGACATATCCAACTAAGAGCATGTTTGGCAACTTAATTTTTTATCCTTACAAGTAACTTTTTACTTATAAGGTGCCAATATGGTATTTGATAAGAGATACTTATTTTACTTATTTGTTACGTTAAAGTAGAGAAAATTAAATTGGGAATCCAAGCTTATTTTTCTCTACTTATAAGTAACTTTCCTTACTCTAGCCAAAAGACAAAATACTCTCCTACTCCTTTTACTTAGTTAAATACTTTCTCATAAGATAATTAATATTATTAATTATTTATTTATTTATTTTATTAATTACTTACTTATTTACTTATTTATTAATAAATTATTTTTATTAATAATTATTTATTAATATTAATTAATTAATTAATTAATAATTATTATTTATTATTAATAATTATTTTGATAATATGAAATTAATTAGTCTCAATATAGCTGATTAATAATCACAAATAATGTAACACAAAAAATATTTTAATAAAGCATATTTCTTACTATGAGATAACTATTTTTTTTTATATTTTATTAATAATAATATTTTATTAATAATAATATTTTATTAATATGAAGTTAATTAATTAATCACAATATTTGCAATTAATAATCACAAACAATGTATTACATAAAATATTTTACTCAAATATATTTATTATTAATATTAATCAATTATTTTATTTGTAATAATATTTTTACTAATATGAATTTTAATTAATGAACCTCAATATTAGTAATAATTATCACAAATATTGTAATATATAAAAATATTTTAATCAAATATATTTCTTATTACGAGATAACTAATTTTTAGTTGATTAATTAATTTTATTAATAATAACATATCATCACAATGAAACTAATTAACTAATATCAATATTAATAATTAATAATTATAATTGAAATAATTAAATTTATATTAATTACTCTTTTAAATAAGTAATAAATTTAATATTATTGATTATCTAGTTAATATAAAATTAATTAATTAGTCACAATATGGAATTACAATAATGTCTTTTTTACTCATTTACCATTTAATACAACCTTATAAGTTATTAGTTTCACCAAATACGTAACTACTTATATCTTCTTATAAGTTAACGGGTTTACCACACAACTTCCTTATTTCCTTACATACTGGTATGTAGTATGACAATAAATAATAAGTAACTTATAAGGATTCAAAAAAATACGTAATAGCCAAACATGCTCTTAGGTATGTTTTTGCGCCGATATTTAAAAACGAACTAAGATAACTGCAAGCAATATAAGGGCCAACTGCGCTTACAGTTGCATTTCAAAAGCATTAAATGGAAATGTTTTAATGTGTAATTTCAGCAGAGAGATGTATCCGACTTGGATTTAACCTACACTCTGGGATAATACCCTCACTTCCTTTTGGACGCTCCACAGAAATAACAGCATCTGAAATGTTATCACAAACTTCTACCTCAGCAGCATTAGAATTAACAACATGTTGTTCATCAGTGTTGCTAGGGTTATCACACCGTTTCTCATCACCATCACCAGCGTTTTGGCGTTCTCTTTCAGCATCAAGAGCTGTGCTTTTGTTCCGATCCATGTAGTCACCAGCGGGAGCATTTGCTGGCAAAGCCTCTGAAGTCTTCTCTTCGTCATCTGATTTGGGAGGACTAGCCTGTCCAGGATATACCGATGGTATAGCAAAATGCATTGCCTCTTTCAGTCCTTCCTTCTGCTTCCTATAAAGGGACATGGCTCTCTGCACAAAAAAGCATAAAACAGTTGTAAGAGAAAGGGTTATCAATTATCCAAGAAAAAAAAATTTAACTTGATAAGTGGTAACTTTGAGGTATAGCAAAAAAGCATTTCCCTGGTTTGGAGAAGAAGGGCAAGTGGGTCAACTACAGTGTGGTCAATCAAAAAAAAGAAGAAAAAGAAAAAGAAAAAAATCTAACCTGACAAAATAAAAACTAAAACTAAAACTAATAGCATGCCCAGAACCAATCAATACATTTGAACTGATCTCTCTGATACCATGACAAACATTGTATTATCCTTTTTGCATGTATGTCTTTTTCCTATCGATATAGAGATTACGCACATATACACAAAACAACAATGAGAAGCCTAGCACAGTTCAGCATGGTGAGAACTTTCATGAGAGATCAACCAGCCCGTGGGGAGAACTGTTGAGTGAGCTCATGAAAGAATATCTCATGGATCTCTCCATTCCTTTTGTTCAACACATCCAACCAAGTTGTGATAATACAAGTAACTAGATTATGTGTCAGCCTTTGCCTGCAGATATTGGTTATTGATGAAGAGTATATCAACTACAACTTTTCATACAGCTATGTGCAAAATTTTAAGGCGGAAAGAGAAGAAAATACCCAGAGGTCTGTATGCTAAAAAGACAAAGTACCAAGCATATAAGATACCAGCTGCCATCTTCTAAGAACTTAGGCATACAAATGTCATTGGAAATCAATCAAGATCGAGAAAAGTCCAAAAGGAAAGAAAGAGTAGTGACCTAAAGCCAATGGTTGTTGATTAGATGACAAATACCAAGACAGGAGAACTACAAGTAATGGATGGCCTACAATAGAAGTTAAACTTCCAATAACATCAAATACTGATGTCTCCTAATTGACACAAGCTGCTACCAATTATATCTGAAAGTCATGTCAAAGAAAATGAAAATTAAGAAACTAAACGTCACTTTATATTGTTGTGAAAGCAACATTTCTTGCATTGAACCATAATATCAAAATGTGCAACTATTATCATATATTGGCATGGTGTTAATGCCGAGTGCAGAAATACCTGAAAAGTAGAATCTGTTGCTGTAGGAAAGAGAGATTTACGAGCAAATTGTTTGCTCTTAGTCACCAATCTGAACTCTACATTGCTCTGTAAAAAAAAAAAGCAAAATAAGATACAAAAATAGAGACTCATTATATAGGAATACCAATGAAAAATAAAAATAGGTTATATTAAATCACATAGGGAAGTATTTGTAATACCTTTCTTTCTCCCTGGTTTGGAATATTGCTTGTAACATTTCTCTCTCTAGCTTTCATCAGAGAAATGCACTGATTATACAACTCTGGGTGGACAAGATCAAGCGATATGTCAAGCTTAGAAAGGTAAGTGCAGCAGTAGCGAAAATTATCACTGCTCTTCTTTTCAGAGGCATCATTTACACTAAGCATTTCATGAAGGTCAGGTGTCTTCTCCAGAAGAGATTTCGAAGAAGTTCCAACAACTTGTTTCGCCGAGGACAAATCACACAATAGCTTGACTACACTGACATCCGCTATTGGCTGATCTTTTTCAGCAAGAGGTTGTCGAGGATATTCATGTTCTTTTTGAGGTACAGGAGAATACATCTTCGCGTTTGCATTCTGTCCATTCCACACATAATTATTCATCTCCCATCCTTTACTGCTGAGCAAATGCCTATTCTGATCCTGTTCCTGCATAACAAAGATATTGGATTCATCACCAAACACGTTGGTGTTTCCATCCCATATTTGCGAGTGAGGAGGACAATAATCATTTGGACTATGCCACCCAAAAGGACGAGCATGACCCGTGAACCTGTTGCCTTCATAGATGTGAAAGGATGGGTTGTTCAAGTCCATAGATGGTCTGATACCAAATGGATGTGGAGGAGGAAACTGCAGAATGTCTGGATGAAAGCCTGAAGGAGGTCCATGTTGGAAGGGCATGAAGCCATTTGCAACTGGAGATGGCCAAGTTGGAGTATTCTTCCAGGGAGTTCCTGGACCTCTTCCCATACTAGCACCCCTTTTATAGCGAGTGCTGATTTTGTGCTCCCCATTATGAAGCATAGCTTCATCTTCATAAGAGCCCAATATGCCAGGGCCATCAATGCTAGTCCTGACAGGCAGAGGAGGGGGTAGATTTCCAGGTAAAATATCTTGTAACTGGGTAGATCGGTTAGAGCCTAGCTGAGAAGTATCATCCTTATTGGGTTTCTCCATGAAGTATTCTAGTTCCCTGCCATTAAATGAAGTGTCCCCTCTTCCGCCCTTGGAACTGCTACTTCTTTGTTCCCCTTCTTTTATCTCAAGGCTGTGACGGGAAGTAATTCTCTCTGATCGCCTGTCACTGGTAGATATAGGAGATTTCCCAGTCACTTGACTTGCAGAAGAACAAGAATCTGATCTTAAGATCCTATCACGATGAGGAACATATCCACTATCTGTCATGACCACATCAGATTGGATGTCATCCTTCAATTTAGATTTCTCAAAAGATCGAGATGTGCATATTTTTTCACGCCCTCCAGAAGCAGTAGTATGATCTCTAGAAACTTTGTAAGAGTTATGCATATCTCCAGATAGCGACTCTCTGCACATGGACTCGGCTTGCCTTGAGTTATGCCTAAGATACATAAGAAACAAATCACGTACTATTATCGACTGTTTGGAATAGCAACCACATTTAAGTTTATTAATAGCAATTGAGATCAGGTACCAGGGATTCAAGAACAATGCTTCAAGATATGGGGAGAAGAAACATTAACCCAATCACAACAATATTCATTCCAACCCTTCAGGAGCTATAAGCCTATAACCACGCATCATCACATACTTCTACATAATTCCGTTCAAACTTCCACATAGCAGAACACCGATGATTTTCAAATGTTCCAATATTCCTGACCCCTCCAATCTGTACTGGAAATAGATATGGTTTACTGCTAAAACTTCCCTATACCATATGTCATTGGCATTAGCTTTTGACAAAAAAACAGAAGATATGGTTGCTCGAAAAGCTACCCCCAAGGTGTTAAAGGTGTATGGTAGGGGGGAAAATAAGGATAACTATGATAAAAATCAATACAACATCGAACAAAAGAAAAAAAAGGTTTTAAGTCTGCAGCTCTATGAAGCTTGTTCTTGTGCAAAGATTTAATTGTTAACATAATAAAACTTGGTTAGAAACAGGTAACCGTTCTTATTACCATACCATACCTTGTCCTAATCCCACCTCACTATCTATATATCCAAGATTCCAAGGTTTCTCATTGCTCTCAAACCTGTGATTTAGGTAGCTAACATGCAGCGCTCGAGATCAATGAAGTTTGTTCTTTATTTCCACTATTTTACTATTGTTTCTACTTTGTCATAAATACTATTTGATAATAATGCTGAAAGAATTCAATTTACAATTCCATGTGTGAAGCTGAAATTAATTTACAATTTAAATTATAGTTCCATTTGGCAACAAATATCATAAAACTTGAGTGGAAGCTGAAACTAAAAGGAAAAAAGAATACCTAATCCTATCTTTGCCAGCATAAGAACTGGAATTTGGTGAATCCTTTGTTTGGCTATTGCTTAGGGTAGAATCAATATCATCAATATGCAGATGTTCCAGCCTAGCTCTGTCAGAGCATGAACCAGATCCATTTTTAGCATTATCCTTGTGCCGTTCCTTTGTACTTTGAGGTTTCATATCATTTTGATCCTCAAGCTCATTAGTTGACCTTTTAGTTCCCCTGTTATCTTTGGTTTTGGGGCTGTAATCATCAACATGACGAATGCCATCACGATCACTGTCATGCAGCTTAGTTTTTTTATCATCAGCATGCCGACTGCCATCACTGTGCTGCGGCTTCGTTTTCTTATCATCAACACGCTGATCATCTCTATAATGCTTGCTATCAGACCTCTCACTAAGGCAAGTTCTTGAGAAGCGGTCATCTCTACGCTTGTCATTATGGCAACTTTGATCCCTGTCAAGCTCCTCCCTGCATTTTTCCTTTTTAACCTCCTCCCTGTATTTTTCTTTTTCAAGCCCCTCCCTGTATTTTTCCTTGTACCTTTCATCTTTGTAGCTTCCCTTTTTCAAGTTATCATCTCTAGAAGATACTTTTCCTTCGTCGCCTTCTCTTCCGGCACCAGATCCATCCTTTCTCCTTTCACTGCGTTTATCAAGCTCTTTTTCTACCTCAGGATCAGGATTGTGCATCTCATTCTGAAGCTCTGTTAATCACAAAAATGAAGATATATTAAACAAGCTATACTGATTAAAAAGGGCCTATATGTAGATTCTTGTAATTGACGAGGAAAATCTATATAATAGGAAGTTAAAAACCATATTCAAAATATATAAGACACAGATATAACAGTTTCAAGCTATACATGCTTTACGAAGGGCAGAAAATCTTGAGTTGTGTAAGCAAATACATGACCATCACACAAAAAAAGACTCTGACTACCCAAAAGAGGCAAAACTACTACAAAAGATAACCTAGATGGTTTACTGTTCAATCCATTAAGAGAGAGATGGTGTGTAAGTTTTTAAGAGAGCATTACCAGGTGCCTAAAGAAAATGATGCAAAAAGGAAGAACTAAATCCACAGTACGGTATAAAGAAAATGGATCATGAACAAAAAGAAGCAGTGGGATCCCAAAGCGCTTACTGAATATTGAAGTAGATGTAGATTCAAAAGTAGTTTTAGATACTAACCAAGAAGAAAGTGAACCAATATAAGAGTCACGAAACAGTTACAACAGTTTATTTGGTAAAAAGTAATGAATTTTGAAGCACTGGGAAAATATCATTTTTTTATTGGTTATACAATCATCGCATACAGGTATTTTAAAAGCTTTGTCTAGGAAAATGAAAGGAGATACAACTCCATATTGGGTAAGATTTTGGAAGCAAGACCTCTATCAATCTTCACATGTTTAAGCAGGAAGTCTTGCTTTTTCACACAAAAGACACTTCACATTTATTTCTGTGTTCAATATCATTATACTTATAACATTCTGTGATTGTTGTAAGCTCCATAGTGTTCACTGTTCACAAACTGGAGGTCGATCACTCCACACTGAAGGAAGAGCTTACCAAACTACTCCAACTACGCACAACAACAAGAGGTATTTGTTCATAGAGACCAACATCCTCATAAAAGAAGAAAAAATAAATACAAATTTTAAAAAATATGTATATGTATGTACACACACACACACACACACACACACACAAATCTGTGTGCGTGTGTGTGTAAAAATTGGCAGATCCACCTTGGCAGAAGTGGTGTCACATGACACCACTTCCTCCAAAGGATGGTTAGTATAAAGCATGAAGCATTTTTGAGATAATAACTTCATTACTTATACTATTTATTAAGATTCATGAAATTTATACCACTTATTACCTCAGACATTAGTGCAAAAGATAAAAGATTCATGGTATCCATATTGACATCTTAATGATATAAAATCCATATACAATCTTGAAACTTTTAAGTATAGAATCATTTAAGTTTGTAATTTTCTTAATAGTTAATTATGTGGTGACACCACTTTCTAAAAATTCTAGATCCACCAATATATGTAAGCACATGCATGTGCACACAGATTTACTGAACAAAATAACCTCTAAAAGCTCAAGCCTTTCTAAGCGATGGCAGAGTTAAACCTCTCAATCCAACTTCAGGTTGCGATTATGACGCACCAACCAATTTGTGAAATAATTCTAGGTAATTGAAACTCATTAGAGTTCCCAATTTCCTATCACACAAGGATAAGTGTAGCTTATGGCAGACACAGCCCCTCCTGTTAAGGAAGTATCTTCCTTCATGAATTCATGTATTAGGAAAAAAGACAAAGACGATATAATCACTCCTTATCTCAAACTTACCATCTTGTATAGTAAGGAAGCAAAGAGCCTAAAATGTATGCATGCATCTATCTACAATATATTTAACATACAATTTTAAACATTCTTATTGGCATTCTTTTAAAACAGTTGCATAACCACTTCCCCCTGTTCTTCAGAGGTTGAGGAATGTTGTATTTCTCCAGGGATTGACATAAGTTAACACAAGTTTGATGGGAAACTACTTAACCATGGACCCTCTTTCCAAAAGAGTTGCATGACTACTTTCCCTTGTTCTTCAGAGGTTAGGTAATGTTGTATTCCTCCAGGGATTGGCTTAAGTTAACGCAATTTGACGGGAAACTACTTAACCATGGACCCCCCCCTTTAAACAATCTTGAGGATTGGCTTAAGTTAACACAATTTGACGAGAAACTACTTAACCATGGACCCCCTTTTAAACAATCTTATTGATATTCTTCTAAAAGAGTTGCATGAGCACTTTCCCTTGTTCTTCAGAGGTTAAATAACATAGTATTCCTCAAGGGATTAGCTTATGTTAACTCAAGTTTGTCGGGAAACTACTTAACCATGGACCCTCTTTCCAAAACATTAAGGGAAAGAACTCATTCATGGTGTGGCCTTGTAGGCCACGAAAATAAGTTCTTCTAGAACTTCTACAAATAGGAAAGAAGAGTCTGGTTCTCTTAGATAATAGAGTAAAGTTATGGCATGACAAATCTTTCTACAAGATGATGTGGTACCCATATAAGGGACATCTACTATGTAGCATGAAGAAGAAGAAAATTTGTTACCCATTAAAGCTAAGTGCTAGAAGAGATCTTTTGAGAAATGTGAGTGGGCAGAGAGGCACTGGGATTTCTCAGGTCATACTCATGCAAGACAACTATCGCCTGCAAATCATGCAATCCTATATGATATTTGTGCTACCTCTTAGCAATAAAATAAACTCAAACTTTTGAGAAACAGCAGATAATATAAGAGCTTCTAGTCATTGCTTTTTCCCCTTAAAATGCAATAAGAGCTGTCGAGTAACCACTTCATCTCAAAGATGGTTTTGTTTGAAACAATTTACATCAACCTATCTTAACAACTCCATCTCACCTCAACCAAGACAAAGCAAAAGGCCTCCAACAGGAAGAAGACTTGATCAAAAGATTCAAAACCACACTAATTGTTTTTGGGCAAAATTGTATGTGAAACAACCTTCACAAGAACAATAAAAGCAAAGGAATAGGCAGTACCATAATTAAATTTGTTTGCCTATCAGATCCAGCTTCAAGCAAACAAACCATCTAATGTTCAATATGAACGCATTCTTCAATGAAATATCAAGTTCAAAAGAGATTATCAATTGGCAAAAAGATGAAAACATCTTTAGCAGTGCAGCAGTCTGAAACGTTTAGTTAGCAACCAGAAATCAGACCATATGACGTTTGACATTTGAAAACAGAAAAGATACCCTAACACCATGAAACCCGAGAAACGCCAATATTCATAAAATATATCCCTATTTTGTGCATCCAAGAAGGATTTTATACATGCAGGAACGAGCAAAATATTCAAACCCGTGCGTATCCCTATTTTGTGCATCCAAGAAGGATTTTATACATGCAGGAACGAGCAAAATATTCAAACCCGTGCGTTAAGCCTATTTACATCATGATTGCCAATTTTATACATGCAGGAACGAGCAAAATATTCAAACCCGTGCGTTAAGCCTATTTACATCATGATTGCCAATTAAGTAGTTGCATAGCGTGTCAACACATTAATAGTTAATCAAAAATCATAAATGATGCATTAACAACAACATATATAGCTCTGAAATTTTCAATTCTCGTGGCTGACCTACAATCTTTCAAGAAACTATTGCAACTTCCACTCTATGTAATAAATCATTTCACAGTTCTATCTATAAAAATCTCCTACCTTGGAAAAGACAGTAAGCAATGACACTCCACAGAAATATAACCTCTTAAATAATAACAACAATAATAATGATAAACAAAGCTTCAGGTTTCCTTACCAGAAATTTCTACTCCCTGCTTAGCACAATTTTCTTCTCTTCTTCTTGCTCCGTCACTAGACCTCTCACGTCTAGAATCCTGAACCTTCTTCTCTTTCCCCGACGACCCCTTCTCCCTTTCTTTCTCCTTCTCTTTCTCTTTCCTACTAGCTCCCTTCTCTGACCTCCTCTCCTCCTTCTCACGCGAACCCTCTCGTCTTCTGCTACTACTCGATCTTGATTTCACACTCTTTTCCAAATCATCTGCATCAATTTCATCATTCTTTGCCGTCTTCTCTACCCTAGAATCATCATCACCGCCGACATTCCGCCTGTCTTCACCTCTATCCTTCCGCTTCCTGCCGTGATCCTCCGATAAATCACCATTGCTAGTTCCAACCCCATCTTTAGACGAAGGTTTCCTCTTTTCTTGATCCGAAACCCTAGAAACCCTAGCCGACTCTGAAGTCCCTTCGTCTTCAGAGTCCGATCGATCTCTGTGCTTATGAGACCGGTGAGATTTGTGACGGGAACTCCGCGCCATCGGTCGAACCCCTCTAAATCTCCAAAATTCCAAGGACCCCATAGAGAAATCAACAGAGTAACCGAAAAATCCAACGACTAACCTTTAAATAAAGAAACAAATACCAATCTGCATAACTCCGGCGAGAACTACGGCAATCTAGCGGCGCATTTGGCCGGAATCTGAAGAGAAAACCGTCGGCGAAACGAAATGATAGAAGAATCGAAGGATATCGAGATAAAAACCCGACGAATCGCGAGGAGATTCGGCGTCTCCGCGATCAAAAAGAGAGCCGCCCTTCTTGCCCTTCGTTTCCTCCCCGAGTGCTCGCCGAGGATTCGGTTAGAGGACGAAAATGACCCTGAATGCTTGCGAGGGTTATGCGATGCGCGTGGGATCCTTTTGGGCAATTTTGTCTTTTGTGGTCCGCAGCGCGGAGGCTTTTGGCTCAAGTTTGGTTTGGGCAAAACGCTACTTGAGTTTGATCCCATTTAGATTTTGATTGCGATTTGGGAGGCATAAAGGTCGGATCCTTTTATTCCGTTAGCCGTACGAGAAGGAGTTGAAAGTGATTTTATCATTTCTATCTCATCGTGATTATGTCTTAAATAGCTATTGATAAGACCATTAGGGGCTGTTTGTTTCCTTTTTTTTTTAGAGGGAAAGGTGGGGAAAGTCTGCCAAAAATGCAGCTTTTGACAGGCTTTCCATCCAAATCGCCTCTAAAAGAAACGATTTGGGTGGAAAGCCTGCCAAAAGCTGCTGACAGGCTTTCCATCCAAATCGCCTCTAAAAGAAACGATTTGGGTGGAAAGCCTGCCAAAAGCTGCACTTTTGGCAGGCTTTTGGCAGGCTTTCCCCACTTTTCCCTCTCAAAAAAAAGGAAACAAACAGCCCCTTAGTTACTGTTTAATAACTTATTTTCTTAGGGGCGGTTTGTTTGCCTGAAAAAAGAGGGAAATCAAAGAAAAGAAAACTTATTTCTAAGAAAAATAGGTTTTGGGATTGTTTGGTTGGCTAAAAAAAGAAGGAAATCAAAGAAATAGAGATGAGATGAGATGAGATGAGTTGTCACCTTATTATAGGAAGATGTGAGTGATTTTTTAAGAAAACTTGTTTTGATGTTGTTTGGTTGGCGGAAAAAATAAGAAAATGAATTATAAGAAACATATTTCTTGTATTAGGTTGTTGTTGTTTTTTGTGTTTGGTTATTTCTTAAAAATAAGAAAATAGATGAGATAAGATGAGTTGTCATTATATTATTAGATGATGTGACTCACACTTATGGTGTGTTTGGGAGTTTACTAAGGGAAGGGAAGGAAAGGTAAACAACGGGAAGGGAAGGGAAGGGAATGGAAGAGAATTGTAATATGTTGTTTGGGAGTTGAGTAAGGTGAATGAAGGTGAAAGGAAGTAAATATATGTAAATTTACATAAATGACTTTATACTAATAACACATCAACCCTTTTATTTGTTTTGATGGGGGTAAGAATGTCATTACACCCCTTTACCCTCCTTTACCCTCCTCTACCGTCCAAATCGGGGGGGAAAGAAAACCAAGCAATTTTACCCTCTTTTCTCCTTCCTTCCTCCTCTCTACCCTCCTTAAAAAAACTCCCAAACAATGTGAAAGCCTCATTTCTCTTCCCCTCCCCCTCTCTACCCTCCATCCAAACAGGGCATTAAGGAAATTGTTTTCCTAGCTTTTGGGGAGGAAAACAAAAAAATAAAATGTTAATGAGATGAGATGAGTTGTCACAATCTTATTGGATGATGTGAGTGATTTTTAAATATGAGATGAGATTAGTTGAGTGATGTTGTGGATGAAAATAATATTTTATTATATGTGGTGGATGTGATGGATGAGTTGTTGGATGAAAATAATATTTTATTAGATGTGGTGGATGAGTTGTTGGATAAAAATAATATTTTATTAGATGTGGTAGGTGAGTTTTAGGGATGAAAATGTGTGAAATTGTACTTTTTGAGATTTCTTAGTTTTCATTTCTATTTTTTGGTGTTTTAGGAAATAACCAAACAGGCCCTTAGAATAATTTGCATTTTATTAATTATTATTACAGTATAAGTCTAGATAGAAGTAATATTCTTTCTTTTTTCGCTCCCCTCGATCGCTTTTCCGCATACCTCAATCTCGATTATTTTTAATGAATTGTAGACTTGTAATTATTTTAAATTCAAGTTGATGATGATGCTATTCTTCAGTTTGGAAGAAAAAAATTAGTATATGAAGAGAAAAGTAAGAGGAGGGGTGGTCTAATATGAGACATTGTCTGAAGTGGCCATGGGGATAGAGATGAAGGAGGAAAAAAAAGAAAATAAATATGAAAATAAAAAAATAATAGAATAAATGGTGGAGTTTTATTTTTTTACCAAGTAGTTCTTGACTAAAACTTTAACAAGATTTGAGAGCATAGAAACCTCCTTTTTGTATATAAATATGATAAACGTGAAATAATATTTTAGAATCTTTCTAGTTTTAGTTTTTATACACTTCTAATTAGTTTTTATGCAATTCTAATTAGCTAACATCTTTTAAAAAATTCTCAGTAATTGTTCTAATTCATTAACACCATTATTTTTTATCGGCTAAATTACAATTAAATGTCATATAGTTTCCCGCTCATTGTGCTTTAAATAGCCCAAATTGTATTTTGGTGCAAAAAAGTATCACTAAGTTTCTAAAAGTTGCACAATTGTACTTTCTGTTATATAAAAGAGAAAACATTCTCCATTGGATTCACATGTCGGTTTTCATGTACTAATTTAAGACACTTTCAACATTTTAATTGCTTTTAATATATATTTTATAATGTAATGAAGCCATCACTACTCACTCCATCCCTCTTTTCCTTTCAACACAGATCTATCTCCTCTCCTTATCCTTTTGACAAAAAAATAATTGAAGACAATAATTGAAGGCAATGAAGCCGCTTAGACTGGGAGGTCTGTGGACCGGTGGTGTGCAGTATCGGTGAAACTGAATGTAGGTTGAGAGTCTTTGTAGTGCTGGTGAGACAGAGGTTTTAAAGAGATTGTGTTTGTTGAAGGGGTGATAGTTGATGACATGATGGTTGAGGATGAGATCTTGAAGAACGATGAAATGATGTTGTTGTTATTCGCAAATGAGAAAGAAGTGGTTGATGAGAATGCAGATGTTGAGGATGATAGAGAAAATGAGGGGCAAGATGGCGTGGATGATGCTGAAGACGCTGCATCAAATAATGATGGTGAATGAGGCTTTAGCGTTCTGCGCAAAAGCTAACAATGTTAGTTAGATCTAACAACAATAACTTTATGTTACTTTTTTTTCCACCAAAATACAACTTATTGTTTTTGAGTCCCTTTTTTAAAGAAATGTGGTGACTCATTTTACTAAATGAGTTACTGAAAAATTGAGTGGTGAGGTCCATATATTTTAGCAAAACGAGCTGCACGGTTATTTCGTAGTAGCTCATTTAACAAAATGAGTCAGACATGTCATTCCCTTAATTCCCTTTTTTTATCTCTTAAATTATCCTGATTCTTATCGGGCGGTGTTCGAACCCCTATCATACCCGACCCGTTTAAACTCGCTTAAGGGCCTGTTTGTTTGCCTAAAAAAATTGGAAATCAAAGAAATGGAAAACTATTAAATCAAAGAATTGTTTTGGGAGTGTTTGGTTTGCTAAAAAAAGAAGGAAATCAAAGAAATGAAGATGAGTTGTCACCTTATTATAGGATGATGTGAGTGATTTTTTAAGAAAACTTGTTTTGATGTTGTTTGGTTGGCGGAAAAAATAAGAAAATGAATTATAAGAAACATATTTCTTGTATTAGGTTGTTTTTTTTTTGTGTTTGGTTATTTCTTAAAAATAAGAAAATAGATGAGATGAGATGAGTTGTCATTATATTATTAGATGATGTGACTCACACTTATGGTGTGTTTGGGAGTTTACTAAGGGAAGGGAAGGAAAGGTAAACAACGGGAAGGGAAGGGAAGGGAATGGAAGAGAATTGTAATATGTTGTTTGGGAGTTGAGTAAGGTGAATGAAGGTGAAAGGAAGTAAATATATGTAAATTTACATAAATTACTTTATACTAATAACACATCAGCCCTTTTATTTGTTTTGATGGGGGTAAGAATGTTATTACACCCCTTTACCCTCCTTTACCCTCCTCTACCGCCCAAATCGGGGGGGAAAGAAAACCAAGCAATTTTACCCTCTTTTCTCCTTCCTTCCTCCTCTCTACCCTCCTTAAAAAAACTCCCAAACAAGGTGAAAGCCTCATTTCTCTTCCCCTCCCCCTCTCTACCCTCCATCCAAACAGGGCATTAAGGAAATTGTTTTCCTAGCTTTTGGGGAGGAAAACAAAAAAATAAAATGTTAATGAGATGAGATGAGTTGTCACAATCTTATTGGATGATGTGAGTGATTTTTAAATATGAGATGAGATTAGTTGAGTGATGTTGTGGATGAAAATAATATTTTATTATATGTGGTGGATGTGATGGATGAGTTGTTGGATGAAAATAATATTTTATTAGATGTGATGGATGAGTTGTGGGATAAAAATAATATTTTATTAGATGTGGTAGGTGAGTTTTAGGGATGAAAATGTGTGAAATTGTACTTTTTGAGATTTCTTAGTTTTCATTTCTATTTTTTGGTGTTTTAGGAAATAACCAAACAGGCCCTTAGAATAATTTGCATTTTATTAATTATTATTACAGTATAAGTCTAGATAGAAGTAATATTCTTTCTTTTTTCGCTCCCCTCGATCGCTTTTCCGCATACCTCAATCTCGATTATTTTTAATGAATTGTAGACTTGTAATTATTTTAAATTCAAGTTGATGATGATGCTATTCTTCAGTTTGGAAGAAAAAAATTAGTATATGAAGAGAAAAGTAAGAGGAGGGGTGGTCTAATATGAGACATTGTCTGAAGTGGCCATGGGGATAGAGATGAAGGAGGGAAAAAAAGAAAATAAATATGAAAATAAAAAAATAATAGAATAAATGGTGGAGTTTTATTTTTTTTACCAAGTAGTTCTTGACTAAAACTTTAACAAGATTTGAGAGCATAGAAACCTCCTTTTTGTATATAAATATGATAAACGTGAAATAATATTTTAGAAACTTTCTAGTTTTAGTTTTTATACACTTCTAATTAGTTTTTATGCAATTCTAATTAGCTAACATCTTTTAAAAAATTCTCAGTAATTGTTCTAATTCATTAACACCATTATTTTTTATCGGCTAAATTACAATTAAATGTCATATAGTTTCCCGCTCGTTGTGCTTTAAATACCCCAAATTGTATTTTGGTGCAAAAAAAGTATCACTAAGTTTCTAAAAGTTGCACAATTGTACTTTCTGTTATATAAAAGAGAAAACATTCTCCATTGGATTCACATGTCGGTTTTCATGTACTAATTTAAGACACTTTCAACATTTTAATTGCTTTTAATATATATTTTATAATGTAATGAAGCCATCTCTACTCACTCCATCCCTCTTTTCCTTTCAACACAGATCTATCTCCTCTCCTTATCCTTTTGACAAAAAAATAATTGAAGACAATAATTGAAGGCAATGAAGCCGCTTAGACTGGGAGGTCTGTGGACCGGTGGTGCGCAGTATCGGTGAAACTGAATGTAGGTTGAGAGTCTTTGTAGTGCTGGTGAGACAGAGGTTTTAAAGAGATTGTGTTTGTTGAAGGGGTGATAGTTGATGACATGATGGTTGAGGATGAGATCTTGAAGAACGATGAAATGATGTTGTTGTTATTCGCAAATGAGAAAGAAGTGGTTGATGAGAATGCAGATGTTGAGGATGATAGAGAAAATGAGGGGCAAGATGGCGTGGATGATGCTGAAGACGCTGCATCAAATAATGATGGTGAATGAGGCTTTAGCGTTCTGCGCAAAAGCTAACAATGTTAGTTAGATCTAACAACAATAACTTTATGTTACTTTTTTTTTTCCACCAAAATACAACTTATTGTTTTTGAGTCCCTTTTTTAAAGAAATGTGACGACTCATTTTACTAAATGAGTTACTGAAAAATTGAGTGGTGAGGTCCATATATTTTAGCAAAACGAGCTGCACGGTTATTTCGTAGTAGCTCATTTAACAAAATGAGTCAGACATGCCATTCCCTTAATTCCTTTTTTTTATCTCTTAAATTATCCTGATTCTTAACGGGCGGTGTTCGAACCCCTATCATACCCGACCCGTTTAAACTCGCTTAAGGGCCTGTTTGTTTGCCTAAAAAAATTGGAAATCAAAGAAATGAAAAACTATTAAATCAAAGAATTGTTTTGGGAGTGTTTGGTTTGCTAAAAAAAGAAGGAAATCAAAGAAATGAAGATGAGTTGTCACCTTATTATAGGATGATGTGAGTGATTTTTTAAGAAAACTTGTTTTGATGTTGTTTGGTTGGCCGAAAAAATAATGAAATAAATTATAAGAAACCTATTTCTTGTAATAGGTTGTTTTCTTTTGAATGTTAGCTTTCATCACTTTCAATTGTTTGTTTGTAGTTGTGAAAATAGTGTAAAGTGATTTCATATGCTGATGTGGCTTGTAAAGTGATTTCATGAAAAAAAGACATGATTTTAGGAGAAAGCTAACATTAAAGTTAGGAAAAAATAATTCCAACAAATATGATCATTTGAGTAGGGACCACTTTTTACACTTTCCAAACAAACAATTAAAGTTTCATTTTGCAAACCAAACAAGTGTTTTATGATTCCAATGGAATCAAAAACAAACAAAGAAAATTATAAAAGTGAAATTGATGAGGTGGACAACAACTTTCCAAGTTGTGTCATAAATACACAACTTTACCAACAACAACCAAACAGCCCCTAAAGTGATGTTGTGGATGAAAATAATATTTTATTAGATGTGGTGGATGTGATGGATGAGTTGTTGGATAAAAATAATATTTTATTAGATATAATGGATAAGTTGTTGGATAAAAATAATATTTTATTAGATGTTATGGGTGAGTTTTAGGGATGGAAATATGTGAAATTGTACTTTTTGAGTTTTCTTGGTTTGCATTTCTATTTTTTGGTTTTTTAGGAAATAACCAAACAGCCCCTAAAACCAACGCACAAAAAAGGAAACGTGAAGAGCAAAAGAAAACAGAAAGGAGACGACTATGGTCGGAGACGCGAGCAGAAGCCGGAGACCGTCGCCGGCGCCTCCGTCGTTTCCCGTTGATCCGAACCTACCTCGATGGGTGTGCCAGAACTGCCGCCACTCTCTCTCCGTCGTCGGCGTCGAGTCCTACGCTGACAAGTTCTTCAACGATCCCTCTCGATCCGGTCAGTTAGGGTTTCAGTATAATCTATTCCCTTAATTTTTACTGGATTTTTAAGTTTTTTCTGACAATTCATGTAAAATTCTAGTCCTTTTTAGGTATGTTCACTGATTCTGGTGAATTCATCTTTATGTTTTCTGTCTTTTTGCGATAATTCATCTAATTTATGCTGAAATTACTTCAAAATCGTTGAGAAATTTGGGTGAAGATTATTTTTTGAGAGGTAGATTGAGTTCTTTGGCTGTTTTCGTAGTCTGTGTTTGATTTCTCTTCATGTAGACAACTTAATTTTTTCCCCCTTTCAATTTGAGTTTATTTCTATCTTATCCCTTAAAGTTAAGTCCTTTTGAGGTATTGTCACTGATTTGGTGAGTTCAGCTGTATTGAGTTCTTCTTTTGTGTGATTATTTGTCATCTTTAATATTGACATCTTGCTGGATTAGGTTGTTTCTCTTTTTCAATCCATGTTTGTTGATAAATAATCTCATAGCTTGACGAATTACTTTCTTTTGTGGTAACAAAATACATGATAATTGTTTTTCATGAATTAAGTAAAGGGCCTTTTGTAAAATTAGTTAATAACTGCTGCAGTCATATGTCATTCGTGATTGGATATAGGGATGCAAGCTTCGGTCCAAGGGAGTGTTTTGGGCTCTAGTCGAATGGACCAGTCCTTTGTGGTTCTGTCAAAACAAAAGGCACAGGGCCATGGTATGCCTCCCCGCCCTCGAAGTGTGCCGTCGCAGCCTGAGGGTGGCCACTCTTCAAAGGCAATGGAGGAATCATTTGTGGTGCTGCCTCCTGCTGCTGCGTCCATGTACAAGAGTGATTCTCCTTCAGAGGGTGGTGGAACTCAGTTGCCAGCTTCTGGTGTGAATCAAAGTAGTAATTTGCACCCAAATGTTGCCGGGTTTCACTCCACCATTACAGTATTGAATCGGGCATTTGATATTGCCACTTCTCAGACACAGGCTAGAACCTTAAAATCCATAATCATACTAGTTTTGCTTTATTCACATAGCTACTTCCATATATCAAGTTTATGTTTGAATTAGTCTGACCCTTAAGTTTTTGATGATTCTGCAGGTTGAGCAACCTTTATGTTTGGAATGCATGCGAGTTTTGTCAGATAAACTTGATAAAGAGGTTGAAGATGTGAATAGGGATATTAAAGCTTATGAAGCTTGTCTTGAACGTTCTGAGCTTGAGTCCTTCAATGTTCTGAGTGAAGCTGATTTTCTTCGTGAGAAGATGAAGGTCCTTACTTTTTTCTTCTTTATTTTTCCCTCTAAAACCATTATATCTAGTCTTTTGAGATATTCGGTAGGAGAGATTATTTTGACATCAGCATTAGTACGATTAACATTTTTATCAAGTTAATTGATAGAAATTTCTGGCCATCAACGTTAGTACCTTAAAACCACCACCTGCCAATTGGCGTGCTAGGCTTTCTGGGAAGCCCTCTTCTGGTTGCAGCTTCCTTGTCCAGGAAGTTTGCATAAACTTAAAAAGAGTGATATGAATTTGACAGCGGGTTGCTCTGTTTCATCAAATTTATCACATCCAGACATGCCATTTTGACAGAAAAGAGATGATGGTAATTGACGATGATGACGGTGACACTTGAGAGCACTTTTTATTTTTTAGCAATAAAGGCAGGTTATGAGCTCAAATGATATACTGATTAGAGACTTTTTGTTCATAAGTCAATATTTACATCCCATTTCTCATTTAATCAAGAATAGAATTCTCATATTGCTTATTCTTCTCAAGTTGACAGTTGTTCTAGTTGGTTGATGCGTTTGTGAACTCATTTCTTTTTTGGGTTTCTTTACTTTACTGCAATAGATCGAGGAAGAAGAGAGGAGACTTCTAGCTGCAATCGAAGAAGCAGAAAAGCAATGCTCAGAAGTTAAAGCTGAAAAGCAAGAGTTGGAGTCAAAATCTAAGGCCTTTAAAGAACTAGAGGAAAGGTGAGCATCTCTATCCTTTTGTCTTTGAAGTATTTATTATAACCTTTGTAATTGTGTGGTGCTAAATCTCAGAAGTGTTAGATAAAGTTTTGTTGTTTCTGCTGCGGTCATTGTTATCGTTATTGTTACACTCAACGAATGTTGGTCCCTGTAGTCTTGGTCTCTGTAATAGCAATGAGCTGTGGTTGAATTATAATCAGATTTTCACATAATGTATTTCAGATTCAACAACCATAGGCCAGGCATTGCAAGTTATCTTTTATTCATCCGTTGTGATTGCAGGAATCTTCTTTATGTCCACTAAAATTAACTTTAGAGTCACTGACTTATTCTAAGGATTAGCTTATGAAGGTCTGGTACTAGAAATGATATTGGAACTTCCAGTTGAAGGTGGTGGCATGTGAAAGTTCGCTAGTTCCTACTTCCTAGATAACTTGCATGGGCGCGCGGAGCTAGTGCCTACTTCATGTTGCACACTAACTCAACACTATGGATTTTTCTATGCTCCCACAAATAACAGTAACTGATAAACATTCCTTTTCCTGCGCTGAAAGAACTGTAATTTTCATAATTGGTACTCTTTTTTCTTGCCCGAAATTCCATCGAATTACCTACAGGCACTAGTAAGAACACAGTTTGCTTTTCGTATGAAGTTTTATTTAATTTTAACAAGTGTTTACAAACTTATTCCTAGTCAGGCATTTGAAAGATTGACTACCTTTCATCTTTTTGTCGATTGATATCTTCTATGTACTTTTTTTTTGTGAACTTATCCCTGTATGAATTTGTAGTTAGTTATATGCAAAGCTGACATAACTTTTTTGTCGTAAGGTATTGGCATGAATTCAATGACTTCCAGTTCCAGCTTAGCTCACATCAGGTAACTTCTTATGAGCTTTCCAATCTCTTAAATTGGGTCTTTTCATCAGGTCAGTTTGTAACGAAATCTGCCCAAACCCAGTTGGAGAATTATGGGTTTTGAGTTTTTTGGAACCCTCTCTGTATTCAAATGGGCAATTTTAATTTTGTTGTAAACCCTAACTGACCCAAAAATAGTAAGTTTGCAGCCCAAAGGCCCATGTGAGGTAGAATATTGGATGTCGACTTTGCTTGGTATACATGTCTGCTCTTTTCAGTTTAAGCTTTTGGTAAAGCCATTCTTTGACAAGTCTGATTATGATACAAGGGGAAATTTTTCTTGGATTTCTCATTGCCAGTCTTTGTTTGTGTGATATTAATTCAAGGAATGCAATATGTTCTGATGACCGGAATAGAATGCTAATCATAATATCAACTTTTGGAAGCCATCTTTCTTTTGTGTTGTAGGTTCATTGGTTATGGTCTTTCTTTCCCTTTTCCATGTGTGGACTACATAGTAAATCTGGTGGCTGTTTGCATGACAGGAAGAAAGAGATGCAATTTTGGCGAAAATAGAGGTATCCCAGGCACATCTGGAACTGCTGAAACGCACCAATGTGCTGAATGATGCCTTCTTTATTTGGCATGATGGGGAGTTTGGAACTATTAACAATTTCAGACTTGGTCGTCTTCCCAAGATACCGGTATCTTTTGCAACGTACAAAATATTTTTCTAGTTTTGCATATCTTTGATTTTACCTATTGCTATGTAGGTCACGGAAGTTATTTTGATTAAGTTTCTGTTTGTTTGTGATAGTATTCATTTGCGTTCATTTTTTTAAAACTTATGCTTTGATATTGGTTTACGTTGTGCATGTTTCTTGACATGGTCTTGGCAATACTATATTATTTTTTTATATTTACTTGAAACTCATTTGCATACTTATCGCATATCTGACAAGGCCCGGGCATTTGAAATTTTCAGGTGGAATGGGATGAAATCAACGCTGCTTGGGGACAGGCATGCTTGCTTCTTCACACAATGGCTCAATATTTCAGACCAAAATTTCCGTATCCTTGCATTGTTATTATGCTAATTGACATAATGATTTACAGTTATGCTACTTCATGACTCGTACAAATTTTAGAAGCGAACCAATAAATTCAATAAATCAACTAGTCCTAGTTGAGATATATATAGACTTGTTCATGTTTCAGTTTTTGTATATATGTATATGGTGTTCACATATGCTAAGGGTTTTGATTATTTATGTTCTTTGCGCAAACTTGCTTCCATCATCTTGTATTGTTTAAATCCATTATGCAGATAGTGATTAAAGATATCTTTGAAGCGTCCTATACTTTTCCATCAGATATCGAATCAAGATTCTTCCAATGGGGAGTTATCCACGTATAATGGACAACAGCAACAACACTTATGAACTGTAAGTCTCCTCTCCATGCTCTGATTTGGCTTTTGCACTTTGCATATTTTGGGCTTGAATTCCCACATATATGCATGCACATGCATGCAGACACATAAACAGCATAGTGTCAAATGGCATGCACATCCGGTAAGTTTTTTAACCAACTTTCCTATTTTATTATCAATCACAACTCCTGATGCATATGCTCACCTGTAATTTTTTGGTAGCAAATTGATCGCTGTAGCGTGATCTTTAGCTTCCAAACTATTGTAAACTCGCAAAATGGAACTGGTGACTATACTATTTTATATCAATAGTTCTAACAGAAACGTATGGACACAGACTGTAGGCTATTTTGGAATCTTTGCATTATGAGACTATTTCTTTCTTTTTAAGCTTGAGTGCACATGTAGTGCACCTCACTCATTCCAATTAATCCCACTAAGGTCCCATTGAAACCGTCTTATTGCCCTCGCTATGGGCTACAAACCTGCCTTACCGAGCTCAGCAACTTGTAAGACTATTGGATGTGTGCGACTGTGTTGTGATTTAGCTTGTAGGATAGGAAGATAGCACTTGTATTATGGCCTGCTGCATTTGGGAAGTGCAGCATGTGTGCTAAAACTTGTGATTCAAGACATTGGTTCCCCGTGCCTCATGCATTTTTCATGAATCACCATGTTCCTTTTCTATCATATACTTAGATGACGGTAAAATTCTATATTTTCTGAAATCATATGTATATATTTGTTTGGATGCAGATTTGGTCCGGTAAACTTATTTTGGAGCACACGGTATGACAAAGCAATGACATTGTTCCTTACATGCCTTAAAGAATTCTCTGAGTTTGCACATTTGAGAGATCAAGAAAACAATGTACCACCCGATAAATGTTTCAAACTTCCTTACAAGTGAGTTGTCAACTCGGATTGGTAGATTCATCTTTTTTTACATTGGATACAAGACATTTTGGGAAGTACCATAAATGAGTTGTGCTCTATGCTTATTTCATCTACTTATTCTTAGAAGTTGGTCATATAGATCATTTTGAAGGATGTAAAACAAAAGATTTTTTATAATTCGAGTTATTGCGTTGTATGCTAGTGCAGTGATTTGCATGAATAATTCTAGCATGGAAATTTTATATAAACGTTCCTTTTTAACATTAGTATGTTACAATGTATCTTTCTAACGCGTAGAACTTTGGCTGACAGGATCGAGAATGATAAAGTGGAGAACTACACCATCACACAGAGTTTCAATAAGCAGGAGAATTGGACGAAGGCCCTCAAATACACACTCTGCAATCTGAAATGGGTGCTATATTGGTTTGTAGGGAACACGAATTTCCAGCCTCTTTCTTCGAGTGGATCGTATCATACTGAAGTTGCTGCCGTTGGATCTCTAAATGCCAAACAATCTGCTTGACCTCAGAAGCTCATTGCACGTGTATAGAACTACACTATGCGTTTGGCCTAATAATGTACATAGTTTATGGAAATGGGAATGTACGTGTAGATTGTATTAAAAGTTGGCATTGTTAAAAGGAGGGTGCATGCGGCTTCCCGGCTTCTTCAGATCAAGCAAGGGGATGAATTCTTGTGGTTATTTGTTATTTACTTGTTTCTTTTTCTAGTTTTAATGAGAAAAGGAAAAGTAAAGACGACGGAAAAAAAAAGTTTACAATTTCTTTCTTACATTTTCATTCCGTTCTCTCGTCAACTCAAAATTCTCTCCCTCAAGCGTAGCGATCTTTGCAAAGCACTTGATTTGTTCTTGTACGTTCGATATACGGATGATCACTTTTCCTTTTCCTTTCTTTTTTTTTAATCGCTTTCTCCACGGACTAAACCAGAGGCATTATGCTTGAATGAACGGTCAATACAATTCCATGTTACTGTTGAATCATGCGCCCAGCATATCTGCATCGATTTACCCAAAGACGAAGGAAGAGTATGCGGTGAACTTGCAACGGTCGGTCCAATTATAAAGAGATTAAATTTGTAAAGTATCATAAATCATCCAGATCTACCCCCAACATTCGGAAAGAACGGAAGAAAAAAAAAACCTTATCCTATGGGCACGACAGTACCGCTTATAGTAAGTTTATGATAAGTTATGGAATCACTTCAATTGAGCACAAAGGAGGGTAGCTATAATCTCGCACGATACTACAAATTGTAGTCTTGTAAAATACAAATCATCAGAACATGTATTAGCTAGGTCCTTTCTCACTTCACGATTTCAAGTTGATATGAAAATAATATTGAAGACTCGTGTCATGCGGCTACAAGTATCAACTTTCTGCCTCTCCGTTCATCTTCTCTGTATCCTCAGATGGCTTCAGCTGTCCCTGCAATTACCCAACTAATAAAAAACCTCTTAACAAAATTTTTGGTTTGATAAGCATTTGGATTAAATCCAAAATGTTTAAATTTTGTGTGCAACTTTTTACAGTAGGACGCAGATCAACGACTCGCCTTTGTGAATGTGTGCGCCATGGTGGTGATTGATTAATAAAGAGATGGATAAATGATATGCTATTTGCTATAGGAAGTTAGGAACTATAAGAAGTAGAGCAAGCAGTAACTACTATGTTGCTGTATGCCATTTATTATTATTTTTTCTTTTCTTTTTTCCTTTTCTTTTTTTTTTTTTGTCATTTTTTTGTTCCTTCACTTGTGTGCCTGTTCACAAGTGCGAGAAGAAAGAACAAATTCTCTTATACAATTGGAAATGATCCCTTGATGCATGGACGAAAGGTTCTGAAATGAATGGCCTTTTTCCATTAAATTTTAAAATATGGGGATTTTTCATCAGCCGACCCCAAACCTTTGGAATAAAGGCTTTATTGTTGTTGGGATTTTTCATCCTTAAGGGTCAATCAAAATATTATAACGACACAAGGAAAGGTCAATCAGCCATTAGAATTGCTCTGCCACATATGGTTGAATCTCAATGTTGAATGATCGTAAGCTTCTTTTTTTTTCCACAATGCTGATATCTAATATTCAATTTTCTCGTTTATAGTTCTGTTTGTGTCAAATGCATCTGAATAAGGGCTAGGAATTTCATACAATACCAGCTGGAAACCCCATAGTATGGATCATTCACTAGAATGGTTCCTGACCCTTTTTTTTATTTTAAAGCAGGCGTTTCAACATAATAGCGAGACCCTCAAATCATGTAACTTTATAGTGCTCTCATTTCTGTTTTTACTGTGGTCTCAAAATTATATATCCACAATTCTCCCCCCACATGCTATTTAATTCAAGCCCTAAAGGGAAGTATTGATGTGTGTGAGCAACATCGTTGTTCCAGTATACGAAATATGGAGAACCTTGTTCCCAAAACCATATCATTCTAGCATGTTTCCATAAAAAGTCATTTTAGGAACTTGGCAAAACAAGGCAGAAACGAAGAGGATTGATAGAGCTACCTTGACTGGGAACTTGCTAAGGATGTTGAGCTCTCGCTTTAAGAATGTCGGCAACACAAATGCAGCCTTATGCATCTGCGAAGAACAATGATAGATGCTTCATTTGAAGGGTAGAGTGTACACATAATGAAAAGGAAACTACATAACATGATAAAGGAAACTGGTAAAAAAGAATGGTTCCAAATTTCTATCAGGACAGCTTAGCTACGGATTGTTGATCAAATAGAACGCTCATATACTCTATTTCCGAACATCACAGGTATTTAGCCTTTGGTATTAGGTAATAGAATATCATACAGGCTTTGCAGCAGCATAAAAATTACACGTGTTAATGAGTAAAGAGTCCAAGAATATATAATGGAAGGGATGAAGAATATGGAGCAGGAGTCCAAGGATAACAAACCTACCTTTAACTTGATAAAGCTCAAATTAAATAATTAATGCAATAATATATACAGTTTAGAAGGCAAGTGATGGCTACTGAGGACTACAAGCATGTTATACATTTAGGAGTTACACATCTACACATCGACTTTATGAGCACACCTGAGCAGATACTGCCACATCAATTCCAGAGCACATATAGCAAATAATAATATTATGACATCTTCAAGTATAAGACGAAGTAAAAAAGGTGTAAGATGAAGTAACAATGTCATTGCGTGCGATAACTAGTGCATCTAAAGGACAGACAGTTGAATGTTCAGTTATAAAAACTAGCATGTGATTAGTTCCACTATGCACAATATATGAGAACAATATAGGCATCTTGATACATTAGGTTATTTAGATTATTGAATCCAAGAGCAAGAATTATTAAGCAAAATCTAAGATACCTCTGAATTATAAAATTTAAGTTCCCTTCTAGAATTCACTGTTTCCTTCTGCTTCTCAATTGGGTTTACTGGGTTCAAGAAATCGACATGTGGACTGTCCGTAGAACACAACAAAAATCCAATCACGCCGCTGCAATCCAATAAAGCATCCATTAGGAAGGGATCTGGTTCCAATCACATTGTACGACACATGCATATATCCAGGAAATAATTTTTGTAACAGACAATGCAATGTTTTATTATATCCTTATTTCCTTCTTTTCTCTTGGGTTACAAGGTGAATAATCATCAAGTAACCTTGAGAAAATTAATTTAAAAATAATAAAGAAGAAATACTTGATCACAAGACCTTCTTGAACATAAAGATAATAATTGGTTAACAAATATATAGAGTTCAAATTAGAAGATTCACTCAAAAACTTCACAGATGACAACCTTGGAAGAAAACAAAAATCATACATAGCCTAATGTTTCAGGTAATTGCCGAAAAATACACTAATATTTCACTAAGTTTTCACATAAATACACTGATGTTTTTCCAAACACTGCTATCATAACCTGATAACATTGAACTGTCAGGATAAATTACAGTAGACTCCCACTGCAAGTGATTGATTTACATTCGGACTATGGGCCAGGTTTTGATAGATAAATGGGGACAATATATCTTTTCAGTGAAAAAAATAGACAGGTTACAGATGAATGTAAATGTTGGAGTACATGGATCTTGAGAAAATATTGAATGGAGTAATAAAATTCCAAAAAGGGATCCTGATGGATATTAACAAGTAGCTTAAAATATTTGAATGTGGAGTACAGAACCCCCAAAAATTATTAATGTTCACGTCATGTAGATTTTAACGTGCTCCTCAGTGAAGTTTGGAACTACCTAGAGCGAAAATTTATGAATTTTCACCAGATAGATAAAAGATTATGAAAATATTAAAATAGTTGATAAGAAATTAGAGAGTTTAACCTTAAAGGAGGAAAAGAAGAACTAGGAAGAATGTTTGAGAATTTTCCTAAGTTTCTATGGAAATTTCAAAAGGTTAGTTTAGTAAAAATCTGGTGAAGTTATGGGAGGTGCAAGAAGGGGACAAGCATATCCAATAAATGTAGAAAGGTGAGCTTTCCTATAAGCACGTGTAACAATCACATGACATAAGAATATCCTTGAATGATTCTGAAATGGGTGAAAGAACATTAGGGCCACAAAGTGCAGGGAAAAAACACAAAGGTATTCATGTAGAAAGGTGGTGAAACATAAAATTTGTAGTCTGTTGTTACCCAAGCATTTCCTCATTTTATAATTATACTAAAGGAGTAAACTATAATTTGTAAGTAACAGAAACTGTACAATTCTACATGATATAAAATTCTTCTGATAATCAAGTGGTGCGCTAGGTTAATTAATAAATAAATATGAGACCAAAAATCAAGATAAGTCTACCTAAACCCAGCATGGAGTAGGCTTTCCCTGCCATATCAGGTGCTGTACACCAACAACCTGGTGCTAAATTATACAGATGAAGAGAAAGAAAGTGCACTATTAAGTACTCTTCATCCTGTTATACATCATTTATAAGACTAACCGAAAGGACTTGTAAAAACTTCTTAAGCATAACAATAGAATTGCAGGTACCTGGGATATGTAGGGACACTTGTCCAGGCATAGTGCACAGAGCCCTTAAAAACTTCACGACAAGTGGAGAGCATATCATGAATAAGGTGTGTATGAAGCCACATACTTTCTGCTTGATTACACAGCACACCACCAGGCCGCAGCACCCTTGCAATTGTTTCAAAAAATGGCTTTTCGACAAGCTCCTGAGCTGGTCCTGTTGTTCATAGGATAGGAATATTCGTTTTAAGAGGCCATGATTCTTTTGAAATTCAGTATCCATTTAAATGGCAAAAATGTTCTAAAAGATTTCTATAGTAATTTGATTTGAGTGTTCATGTTTATGGACTTGCAAGACAAAACTGACATTTCCATGTTAATGGGGTGGAGTCGAGATCTGCCAAGCAGGTAAATGGAAAATTACAATTCCTTAAGTCGATGAATGTGAGCTATATGTATTGCAGTGGAGAATAAAATCATTATTTAGCCACTGGTGTCAAATCTAAGAGAAAGGTGAACTGGAATCTAATGGGCGCAGATGATGACCGTATGTAGAGGCAAATGAAACCAAGCACAAGCCATACTAAGGGCTAATGTCATGGCAAGTTCCTGCCCCCTTCACCAAGCCCACCGCTTCACTACACAACCCCACCCACCCCCTCTCTCCCGAGTCCCAAGCTAGTGAGTTGACAAGAGCTTGTGTAGCTGCATTTCATGAGCTGTTACAGTTCTAGATTCTGTGAACATGAAAACCATTTTGTTCTCAGAATTTTAATGTTGTTACCTATGGTTCTGAAGTTGAGTATCAAAATCTGATAACACAAGGATCTTCAAAACACTCTCAATGACCTTTCAGTTAACTGAACTGTCTTATGCAAATTTAAGCAGAGCGAAAACACTGAATCATACCTATTGGGTCAGATGAATCAACTATAACTGCATCATACATCCCTTCCTGAGCATTCCTAAGAAACTCCACCGCTGTCACAAAGACATAACATAGCAAAACAAGTGAGCAAGAAGATGAGGAAGAATGACAGATAAGAAAAGAAAGCTTCGAGATAAGAAAAGAGAGGCTTTTAATGGTCCACATTTTATAGACATCTGTACAGACGCTTTTACAATTGGCAAAATCATAAACAATATTCTGACTTTTCAACATACCATCACCAACATGAAGTTGAACTCTAGGATCCTCAAATCCAATGGACAACTCAGGGAAGAATTTTTTACAGACCTGTAAAAAGTTACACCCATTGTTACCCATGCAATGACATAAAATGGTTAAATTCTGCACTTACATCTATGACCAACTTGTCTATTTCACATATATCTATTTGCTCCACAGAATTGTGTCGAGATATTTCTCGAAGAACTCCACCATCACCACCTCCTATGACCAGAACCTGCAATATTTAGCTTCTTTAGGTTAGCACAAACAAGAGCAGATTCATAATTTCATATGTTTCCGCAACAACATTGCTGAATGTAAGTCACTTAAAAACTCTAAGCAGAGAAATCTTTAAGCTCCTGTATAAGAGAATCCAGAATTAAGGAAAAGAATTCTAAATCTAGCAGATCTTTTCCTTTCCAGAAGGGATATTTTCAAGATGAGTAACTTGGCAATTCCTGGAGACCTACAGTTAATTAAATTTAGTCATCTTAAAAAACACGAATATGAAGCAGCCTCCAGCTTTCCCCCACATATTACGAGAAATTCCTCTCAGTGGTATTGAAAGGGGCATGTGTTCAACAAATGACCACCCTCTTATCACTTGCATACCTAAACCTTAAAAACTCCCATTTTAAGACAGCCCATATAGGCAGCAAAGCAAATTTAGTTTTGAGTCGTCTCCCAATGCATACTTATGTCTATAACATAGATTGGTAGAGAGAGTGTGTGCAGACTCATCCACACACATATGTTTGTGTTATATACTAAAACTATAACCTTCTTTGCCAGCTATTAAATTTCCACATATGTAAGCAATTAAAAATATCGCCTTTCGCTTTTTATAACTATTTTAATTTCATAAACTTCTGCATATTAAACATTTCAATTGTATGACTTTTTCCAACTTTATCTTTATCTTTATTTTCCCATAAAGGCATTTGTTTCATTAAATATTTATATTTCCAATGAGAAAATGATCTTGGTGGTTGTTCATTCTGCTTAGGTACTTGCCAAATTATTGTACTGCCAAATATATATGCAACAGTATTACAACATTAAGTACCGCACATCGCACAGGTGACAACTAGTAAGATGTAATAAAGAGCAACCATTGAAAATTGAAAATTGAGAAAAAAATATTAACATAATGAGGATGTATCCTGACCAATCATATGAAATAATTAATAACAATGAAATCCATAACCTTCCTCAACATGTATATCCTTTTAAAAATCAAATTTGCACTGGAATTCTTATTTTTTTATGGTTTTATTATAGCTTCTGCACATACGCATGTTTGCAATCTACTTCCCTTGAAGAATGCAGCATGCTAGGGGTACAAAAACACATCTAGTAACAACAATTCCTCTTAATGTTTACAGGTGTACAGTAGTATTGACTTCTAAGAATCTGTAATTCCTTAGGCTGTTTTTATTAAGTCATTTTTTACAGAATTGGCGCAGTGAGCAACATATTGTAGGTCATTTGCTCTATGGTTGTCCAATATCAGACAGAAAAATCGAATCATTGATGCAGCAAACATAAGATATCAGCTTTCCAATCTGGACATGGGCATATTACATGGGTACCATTGCAACCTTAGTCAGACTAGAGTAATTGGCTAACATAAATAAAGTAGCATGTTGAACTCAAGAATTTGAACACAATGATTAGTGGCTTAAATCTAGAGACTCTATAAATAGAAAGGTTAAACAAATAGAGCGAAGCAAGCAAAGTACAGTTTTGGGGGATGAAATTGAACAGAGAGGAAGATGGGTAATCATCTCTTGGTAAGCACATTCATCTTTTTCAGTCAGCTGAACAATGCCGTCAAGTGCAAGCACTTTTCCATAAGTTGATGACTGCAATAGCAAGTAATAAGTTAGGCGAGTTACAGAGTATAGCAGAAGCAAACAAAACTGCTAATTACGAAATGTTATCACAGCAAAAATAGTAACATTCAAATATGTACAAACTAGATGGAAAGAAACCTCAAAAACCAGTATCTCCTGGTAGTCTGACTTCCCTTGAAATAGAATCTCTTCCACTTTCAATGAATGAGCCTCCCCTGAAAATAGCAATTCAAATGCACTTTAGCAATAAAGATTAGCATGGTGAGTCATCCGCATAGCCCTATCAAAAGCAGGAGATCAGAAGGTCATTTTTTCCCTAGCATCTTGCTTTCTCACTCAATACAAAACACGATCCAGCTCTTACTTTGTCCCTCTCCCAACTTCATATAGAATCTTATACAGACATCAATTCTCGTGGATATCACATCATGTACTTGGGCATGTCAGGAAAGAGGTATTGTGTTAGTTCTATGGTCTATCCTAGCGAAAATGAGAAATGAGAGGATAATTGACATGTATTTCCCTTTAAGCCTTAGGTATTGACCAGCACTTCTGACAGCAATCAAAAGATTCCACTTTTGCCAGCAATCAAAATATTCTATCTAAAGTAACCAAGGTACAATCGGATCAATTCTCCCAAATAGGATACATTGAATTATGATACCAGCTAGAGAAGCACATTGATCAAATAGTTGACAAATAGTTTGTTAATGCTTCTCTAGTTATGCAATTATATTCGACTAAATATTTCATTTAATAGTAATGAATAATTTCAATTATTTGGTTTATAAATGAATCTATTTAATTAATTGTATGTTGATTCGTTTGATCGTTCGATATTCATTTGTATTTTGTATTTTAGTCCTCGATCATAAATGTTTGGCCAATACGAAAGATTTTTGTCCATGTATGAATAATTGTACTCATATATGTCACTTTTTTAGTATTTGGCTCATTAGAAGAAAGCGGCATTGTTGCACTGAGAATGATTTTCCAAATCGTTGTATGTGAACATTTGTGGCTTGCTATTTTGTTACTATTTATACTGAATGGACATTTTTTTGTTTGTTCTATTGTTGATTTATTTATATAATATATGCAGTGATGTACAAATGTGATTATATGTTAGTTTTTCATGTTTAAACAATTGTATTGTATGAAAACAAGTTTTTGTTTCCATCTGTCGCCTTTTATATTGTGTGGACCCCCCCCCCCCCCCAAAAAAAAAAAAAAACGGTTTAATATATTGTATATGTACAGCACATTTTGGTCAAAGTCTACAAAGAATAGAGCATAAGTTCTTAACTACATGAAAGCGCCTCAGCTTGAAAATACTCACTGAATTACAAATAGCCTCGTATAAGCCAAAAATTAAAAAAATTCCACAATAATATATAATCCCTCAAATTTTATGTTGTGTCCAATTAAATTGGATATTTAAAAAGCCTTTACACCGTATTAAATACAATCAAACATGGAGGGAAAAAATTCAATACAATAAAAATTCACACAATTCATCAAGTATAAGATACCTGGCCACATCGGATTGTTGTAGTACAAAGTCTTGGGTGACTTAACTGCAAACATTGCATACAACACAGTCAGCCCAAAGCAATTATAATCCAAACTGATAAATTTCAAGATATTGACCTGTCGACAAAGGAGTCTCCGAAAGCCAGCCGGAGACGACCGTGGCATGCAACTTGGCCTCTGATTCGGGCACCGAAGCCATGGCTTTCTTGCAGCAGTTGGGGATTTCTCCACCCCCACTCACTTCGGCCACCTCCGCCCCACCTTTTCCTGCGCCACTTCCCTCCATGGATCCTATTCCTATCCTCAGTTTCTTCCAGTCTGCAATCAAAATTTCCCAAAGCAGGTATAAATAAACAAAGAATATTCAAATAACTGGACAACGAGATGAGATTATACAAGCATTTAAAAAGCTAGGGTTTTGATTTTTACCCGAATTCAGATGCCAGGTCAGCAACTTGATTGGATTTTAAATGCGAAATCGAGAGAGAACTTATTCTCTGTTTATTTATTTCTATAAAAAACTTGCCTATTTCATATTAATTTAAAAAAAAAATCCTTTTTTTCTTTAATTAGATGGCGTCAAATTTCTCAAATCAAAGTACAAATAAAGAAACAAAGAAGACTCAATCACTGTACAAAGAGATGAGATTATAGCAACATTTGAAAAGCTAGGGTTTCGACTTCTTTACCCGAAATTGGATGCTAGGTCAGCAGCTTGCTTGGATTCTAATGGCGGATGAGAGAGAATTTGTTCTCTGCTGATTTATTTATAGTTTTTTTCTTGAGAATTTATTTAATTTTTTTCTTTATTTGGGGGATTTTTTTTTGAAATTTTGGGAGAAAAGGAAAGGAAGTTGGTGACTTGCGGGGGTATAATAAAGTTGGAGACTTTCTTGAACTGACGGATGGGTCCCAATAATAAAAGGTTGAGCGGTGGGCTGAGCTCCGAATAAACGTGGGGAGTTCGGTTCCGCTGTCACTTTGGGCTGGGCCCGAAATCACAGGCCGGGCGTTGTTTGGTGAACCCCAAAGTAAAAACTAATTAAAGGCTAGATAGCACTTTAATGCCTTGTAGCCTTACTCACTTCGCACCTATATACACTCACTTGATTTCGTGACATTTATGTACCCTAAGTTGTTTAAAATTGGAACGCTAGTACTCTTCATTATTGCAAACGTGAAAATTTTCATCTAGTTATTCTCAAATGACACTTAGAATTAATTAGCATGTGACCGTCATAGTCAGTGTATTCAGATGAAAATTATCATGTTTGCATGATAGGGAATGCTAATGTGCCAATTTTAAAAAATATATATACGAAGTATATAAATGCTGTGAAAAAACAAGTGAGGATGCATAAGTGCAACGTGAAGTGACGCTACAAGATATTTAAGTGTCATTTAACCAATAACTAACCCATCAATCTTTTAAGGAAACCCCAAATTAAGTTTATTAAACTTAACTAGTCTTGTTCCTTTATTCTTGGAGGGGGATACTAGGTAGTCAAGGAGAAAATGACCTTTAATATTAATTATTGTGTGTATAAGCCTCGTCTATAAAGTATTTTCCATGCACAAATGAGTATGTCATCTGCAAACAAACAACCAACGGTATAATTCTGTAGCAGTAACAATGACGGATTGGAAACTACATATGCAACGTGTAAAAAGGATATGTGCTAAAAATACCACTGGTTCAAGCAAAGTAAAAGTTGCTTCTTTAATCTACTAATTTATTATAATATTTATTAAAAGTAAATTTGGAAAGTCAAGACCTACTAAAGTAGAGTAATTTCGTGTACCTCTTTTTCTTTTTCATTTTAAGAAACTTCTAAAGTCTGATGAGGGTGGAAGATGGTCGGGACGCTTTCAAACGGAGTGATTGGTTATTTATTACCTCCTTGTGTTGTTGTTGATGAGGTGGTATTTTGCTTGCTCAAGGGTTAAGTTGTTAGATAAGGTTAAGCTAGCAAAACTTGTACTAACTCACTCACAAATTAATATAGTAACTAAAATTTGTGGTCTTACTCAGGAATATGTGTTCCCTCAGTGGGTGTTAGTCAGTCAGAACACTTTTGATAGAAGCGGAACAATTTTTACTATAAGATAATTTTTTAATGTGGGATATTTTAATGGGATAATTGGGAGTAACTTTCTAAAACATGATATCTTAGTGGGACAATTGTTAGTATAATTAAGGATAATTTTTAGAAATCAATAATCATATAGTATTTTGATGATAAGACTACTATTTATACATTTTAAAACTTATTATTATTATTAATTATTTACTTTAGTGTTAATTAATCTTGAAGATCTATTAGATAGACTATAAGATATTATTATTATAATAATAATTTGTAACTTTTTGATTTTTTTTGGAATTATTATTGTAATGTAAATTAAAAAACATAGTTTTTTTTTTCATTTTTTCACTTTCTTCTTCATTCTACCAGACATCATTCCATCATCTCTTAATTTTAATTAATTTTTAATAAAACATTAAATTATAATTTTTAAATTTAAATTAATTATACAAATAAAATATTTAATAAAAAGTAAAAATAACATTAAATAGAAGGGAACAATAAGAAGAGATATGATCTAATTTTATGGTGTGGTTTGAAGATGATGGAGAAATAAAATATAAAAAATAAAAAAGTTCTAGTTTTTTATCGTGTAGTTCTCGCTTAAAACTTGGAACATTTTTGAGCGACTAGAACTCTCTCTTTTCTTTATAAATTTGATAAAAGTGAGATAAATTTTTACAATTATCCCAGTTTTACTTTTCATCCAATTCTTATTGACTAACACTATATAATTTTATCCTAGTTCTAGTTCAAATGGACTAACACTATAAAAAATTATCCCATAAATTATCTCACTTCTAATTTTGAGTTCTACTTGACTAACCCACTTTTATCAAAATTATAACTGAGATAATTTGTGGGACAATTTTTTATAATAATAACTATGTTTTTAATTTACATTACAATAATAATTCCAAAAAAATAAAAAAATTACAAATTATTATTATTATAATAATATCTTATGGTCTATCTAATAGATCTTCAAGATTAATTAACACTAAAGTAAATAATTAATAATAATAAATTTTAAATTGTATAAATAGTAATCTTATCATCAAAATACTATATGATTATTGATTTCTGAAAATTATCCTTAATTATACTAACAATTGTCCTACTAAAATATCATATTTTAGAAAGTTACTCTCAATTATCCCATTAAAATATCTCACATTAAAAAATTATCTCATATAATTATTATTAGTGCATAATAAAAATTGTTTCACTTCTATCAAAAGTGTTCTAGCTGACTAACACCCCCTTAGTGAGAAAATGAACCTATAATTAAAGGATTCATGTATAATCTATTACTGACTAATCAAATTTTCTTTGTTAATTATGCACTAATAATTTTACGACTTATCTACTTTCATAAACATTCCACTTAGACAAGAGATGCATAAAATTATGCCATATATGGATGCTCAAATGCACAAAAGGAATCAATAAAAGAGTCAAAAGAAAAAAATGGAGGAAGTGAGAATTTTGATAGTAGAGTCAGTCCCTTGATTATAGTAACCATGACACCTTGCAGTCAACAAGATTTCACATGCGATAAATAAGAGAGAAAATTGTATTTCTTTTTTTGAAGAAACGAACAGATCTGCAATCGATTTCACCTCTAATTTATGAAAAAATATTAATCTATCAGTTATACAAGTATGTAATTTTGTGGAGAGAAAACTTAATATAAATGTCAACAAATTCATGGCAGTGGGTGGTTGGGGGCTCTGTTTGAGTCTTCTTCGTTGTTTTAAAAAAATTGTGGGTGAGTGCAATGTGAGATGGACTTTAAATATTTTAGTCTCATATCATTACTTAATATGTATCACATGCAAAGCACGTGTTAAATACTAGTATATAGAGAATTTGTGGGGGCACGATGGTAAATCTACGCCGTTGGTAGAGTCAGCGATCAGACTCCACATTACACGCATCAACGGTGTGTTTAGTGAGTTAGCTTTATATTTAACGCGACAGTAACAGAATGGCGGAAGTGCGAGTGATGTCCGAGGAGTCATTATGGCTACGGATTAAGAAGTTATTATGACTATGGCCATGCATTTAACGCGATGACGACTAGACGGCGAAGTATGGACGCTAACTGGCCATGCATTAAATGTGAATAGAGTTGGTGAGAATGATAGGGCATTCCGTCTTCAGGGTCGGTCCCGAGGTTTGGGTTGCCCTAGCCCAATCTAATTTTGGTTGCCCCTTATATTAAAAATTTGATACGAACAATAACGATAAAAATGAATACATATAATATCATTTAGTATTCTATATTGGGCTCAAACTGATAATATTCTCTTACAAAATCAATATTCATATAAGAAAAAAATTACATTTGTGCTACAATTTAATTCAAAGAAAAACACTTCTCCTTGAATTTTTTGAAGCGAATTTTTCAATTAAGTCATCATACTCGAGTTTCTTGAAGTATTCATTTTTAACTGATATCATTGCCAATCCATTCAATCAATGATGTGACATGGTAGTGCGAAGATAACATATATGAAATCACAACAATCAACTAAACTGATGCTGGAACGAAGACTTAGCAATATCATTATTATTAAAACAATCAAACAATTAATCTAGATAGCAATCCAATAATATGAATGTCATCAAATCAAAGTTAAATTGAGATTATAATTAAAACCAAATAGAAATATATCAGATTATCGTCCATTAGGATTTTCGAGTTTTAGATGACTAGAAGGGAGATGAACTTTTTAACAAGTAAACATTATTTCCTCTTTCTGTCTTTCAACTTTTATAAGCTTCTTTTAAACTTATGGAGACCATGAGAAACTAGTCGGAAGGTATAATCGTGCCACCCAAATAGCTAAATCAATTCTAATTTCCAGTTTCAAAACAAAAACCTAAACGAAACCGTCCAAACATCATAACCCCTAATTCAATAATTAGTATTCAGCCAAGATTCAAAATCAGAAATCTTAATTTCATTGCAAAACATCAAAACCCCAAATTTTCGTCCAAAAAAACCCTAAAATTATTTATTTAAAAAAATTATCTGATTGTGTTTCTTTGATGGACCGATCGGCCGTCGGCGTCGATAAGTCGATTCATATTCTCTTCGTCTTTTGTGTGACTGGATCGGACTGTCGGAGGAGGAGTCAGCGGGGTGGTCCGAAGGATGGGAGCAGAGACGGGAAGGAGGAGTTAAAGGCTGACGGAATAGAGACGGCGGAACAGAGCGGTGTCTCCGTCGATTCAGATTCTCTCCGTTTTTTTTTGTGAGCGACGGAACAAAGACGAGAAGGAGGAGAGGAGGGTGACGGAAATAAAGGAGGAGTTTGGTAGGGCTTTGGGTATTAATAAGAGTTTTTTACTAATAGAACCCCTAACCATTTTTGCATAAAAGTCCTCTTACAAAGTCAACTTCGAAAATTATTACGGTTTGAGGAGTGAAGGATGTAATCGCGATGGTTGCCCTCCGGTCCTGGGTTGCCCCAGCCCCGGGGTTTGGTGGGCTTACCCCAGGGCCGGCCCTGTCCGTCTTTCAACGCATTCTCTGGTAGGGTCCGTTCAGAAGATGTCTTTCGTCTCGGACTCTGGTTTCTTTAACGGATCCCGAGTTGAAAACGTCTTTCATCTCAGAGTTGGACCGCTAGAGAGATCGGTGATGCTCACACATGTGTTGAAGTTTTAGATTATATGACTCGACCGTTAATATAACAAATGGCCAACTATTAAGTGCTCGTTAAACTTGGCGATTTATAGGGCACATCATTATCCCTTTATA